AGTCAGTGCTCTTAACCTCTGAGCCATCTCTCCAGCCCCCCATTCAGTTTTTAAGTCCTATTTTTAACTATGTATATTCACGTGTACGTCTGTGCTAGACACAGCCATGTGAGTGACGGTACCCATGGAAGCCAAGAGGCATCAGACTCCCCCTAGAGTTGGGCTTACACGCATGTGTGACTGCTCAAAATGGGTGCTGGGAATCAAACTCAATCCTCTACAAAGCGGTAAACACTTTTAACCACTGAGCCGTCTCTCCAGGTCCCGTTCTGTTTTACCAAAACCTCAATCATAGCCATAATCTGCATCCTGTCAGGAGCCCACATGAGGATTTCTTTAAACCCTTGCGCATATGCTCTTTGATGGACATATTTAGCTCTCTGCTGAAATCTTTCTTGAGCTCAAGACCAGACATCACTGTGATTAAGAGCACTGATCGTGACGTCTTACTTCCTAGGTTCAAATCCTAGTTCTGGGGCTGGAGAGATGGCTCAGAGGTTAAGAGCACTGACTGTTCTTCCAATGCTTCTGAGTTCAATTCCCAGCAACCACATGGTGACTCACAACCATCTGTAATAAGATCTGGTGCCCTCTTCTGGCCTGCAGGGACACGTGCAATAATACATAATTATTAAATAAATCTTTAAATAAATAAAATGCTGCTAGTTAAAAAAAAATCCTAGCTCCAGTAGCTAAGGCTACTTAGCTGTGTAGCCTTGAGAAAATTACTGAATTTCTCTGGACATCTTTTTCCTTTATCTAGAAAGCAGGGGAACAAATGGTATTTACCCCCTGGGGTGGTTGTGATAAAGGAGGTGAGTGGATAGGTCTAGACAAGTATCTATCACACATGGTCCTCAATATGTGTTATTAGCAACTTTTTTAATTTGTATATTTTTTTGTTTTTGAGACCTAGGCTGACCTCAAACTCACTAAAGCAGCTAAGGATGGCTTTGAACTCCTGTTGCTAAGACTTCTACTCCCCAAATGCTGAGATTACCAGCATGTGCCACCATGCCCAGCAGCCTATTTAAGAACAAACAAAAAAGGAAACCTTTAATTAGATAGTCATAATTTGTATTAATGTCT